CGCTCCACAGGCTCTATGAGTTAATGTGTGCTTTGGTCCTGCTGTGTGTAGAAGGCCTTGGTCCCTTGGGATCCTCCATCTCCTCTGGCTTTTAACAGTCTTTCTGCCTCTTCATCCACAGAGTTCCCTGAGCCCTGACAGAGAGGTTTAATGAAAAAAAAAAAATCTCTTTTAGGAATGAAAGTTCCAAGGTCTCTCATTCTCTGAATATTGTCTGGCTGTGGGCCTCTTACTGTTCCCTTCTCCCTAGGATTAAAAAAAAAATAGTTATAGATGAAAACGGGGATGGACAGGAATAAGAGGATCAAACAGGGAAGAGGGTAGAAGAAGGGTCTACGGAGGGAACACTGGGAGGTACAGCTAAAAGTAAGGGTCATTTGAAGAGCTGTATGAAAACCTTACAGTATATATACATATACATACATACATAGATATATGTGTATGTGTGAAGGCAATTTAAATGAAATCATAAAATAATAGGGGAAACAGAGCCCCAAATGGACATTTCTTGTCATCAAATAAAGCTTCCTGTACTGAGAATGGGTTACATCTAATCAATTTCTTGGCCCAAGGGGTCCAATGGGAACCCTTAAACAACCTAGAGTATTACCAAGGTCATTGGTGGCTTTCCACAAACTAATGGTAAGGTTCCATTGAGGAAGACAACACTTCTTAAACTTAAGTTAGGAAAAAGTTCAACTATTTTTCAACAGTCAAAACTTTTTAATTAGGCTATTTACATCTCTTATAAGAGAATATCTTAAAATAAATTTAATAGTCCCTGTGAAAACTTTATCGCAAATTCTCTCAGCTTAAAAAAATAAAAAGTTCTATTATTTTAAAAGCAAAACTTCTTAATAGGTACTTACAACTCTTGCAAGTGAGAAATTAAAAATAAAGTTTAATGGTCCCTGTGAAACTTAATTTACTATGCACAGCCTTGACAGGGTTTAGTTGTTATTCCCAGGGGATAAGTATAGGGGAAGAAAAAGAAAGAGAAGAAAAATATCAGATTTATCAGAATCAAGTTGACATGATGCATTGTTTTCAATATTCTCTCACATAGCTATTTGTAACAGGATTACTATTTTCCCAGGCATGTCAGACTTTGTGAACTTTAGCCAAAAAACAAACAACAACAACAAAACATGGTTTTTCTTACAGTTTTTACTCAGCAACTAATACAATTAAAGCCAGAAAGTCCTTAATAATGCTTATATACCTACATGACAACTACATTTTTATTGTATAACACTGCTAGTCTTAAAACAATGAGATTTCATAATCACACACATTTTTCCCAGAGCCTTTCTGATATCGAAACTTAATAAAAATTAAGCTAAAGTTTAATTCTAGCAATCTACAAATTAGCAGAGTTGGCTCTTCTCTGCATCTTCTCACACCAGATGCTGAACAAAAGAAATGTCCGTTACTATTGCGTGAAGACAACATAACCCCAAAGCAGTTCTGTCATATTAATGATCCAGATGGTGATAAGCGTTAATCTGAAAGCTTAATACCATTATATACATAAAGTTAGGAAATTTTACTTCCTATAACAAACACTGCTTTAATTAGACATGCATCTACTTAGTTTAAATCTTAGGTTTTCAACAAAAGTTTTGAAATTCAAGGCATTTTAAGAGAGCAAAACATGCATATCAGAGAGTAAAAAATGAAAGAAATTATTAACAATCAAATAACTAGATGGGAATGACTTTATATGAAAACAAATTGGAAAATGTAGGTAAGACTTAGGAGTCTGAGGAAAGGCCATCTTTGGGGCCTCTCTAGAGGGCTGCAAGTATTCAAGTTTTTTGCCCCTCTTTAATTACTTATGCACTTTTGTTATAGTTGCCTTATAAAATCTTATACTTTGCCCCTATTGGTAATCAATTTCTTTACTTCCTCTTTTTCTAGTTCCTCAAGATCATCATATAGTGATACTCAGTGTTTTATTTCTCAATGTATGTATTGAAGCATAAAATTCCTTTATCTCACAAACTTTGATAAAAGTATTATCATTAATTTATGAATATTTTTACATTTCCATCATGGTATTTATTACCTGAGAATTCTTCAGAGGTATATTTTTAAGATTCCATGTTTAAAATACATTTTGGGGGTTTTCTTTTGAATATGGATTTGTAGAACGTGGCATTATGACTATAGAAAGTAACCTAAATTGTGTTGGTTAATTGACATTAAAAAACTTGCTTCCTGAGGAGGCAGAAAGATTGCAAGAGTCAGAGGGCTGGAGGACACCAGGAGAACAAGGCCCTCTGAACCAACTAACCAAGGCACATATAAGATCACAGAGACCTATACCAGGCATTCTACCTATATATTATAGCTATTAGCTTCGGATTTTTATGGGACTCCTGACCATGAGAACAAGTATATCTCTGACTCATGTGTCTGTTCTTGAGACTCTTTTTCTCCTGTTGGGTTGCCGTATCCAAACATGATATGATATTTTTGCCTCATTTAATTATCTTTTATTTTAATATGTTTGGTTATTTCTTAGAAGCCTGTTCTTTTCTAATGAGAGACAAAAAGAGAGTGGATCTGGAGAAGAGGGAAGGTTAGGAGGAACTGGGAGGAGTAGAGGGAGAAAAAAAAATGTAAGCAAGATATATTGAATGAGAAAAGAATCTATTTTCAATATAAACGAAAGAATCAAATGCCTAATAATATAACTTGTGACTCAAAAAGAGACTTGCTTCCTTTCCAAAAGAAATGTAAACAGGTATTATAAATACCTTAGACTACAGAAAACAGAAGTATCCTGGGATATATGGCAGTTTATATGCTAAGTAAAGGAGTACTTATATTTAACCAAAGATGACACTACAAACCAGCTAACGGAAAATGTGTAAATGAATGCTACAAACACAGGTTGGAGGGGGAGGAAATGTACCTTAACTAAGGCAAGGAGGATACAACAAAACATAAAAGACCAAGAATTAAACTTAAAAACATTTATATAGAAAAATATACAGCTAAAAAAGTTCAAAACATGACACAAAAAGTATTTGTCACTTAGATATAGATCCCAAAATGGATTAGAATCCAGATTGTTTTTTCAATTTTTTATTAATTACAGTTTATTCACTTTGTATCCCAGCTGTAGCCCCCTCCCCCATCCCCTCCCAATCCCACCTTACCTCCCTCTTCTTCTCCTATGCCCCTCCCCCAGTTGAATGATAGAGGAGGTCATCTAACCCTAGTCTATCAGGTCTCATCAGGACAGGCTTCTTTGTCTTCCTCTGTAGACTAGTAAGGCTGCTCCCACCTCAGGTGGAGGTGATCAAAGAGCCAGCCCATGAGTTCATGTCAGAGACAGGCCCTGTTCCTATTATTGCAGAACCCTCTTGGACACTGAGCTGCCATGGGCTACCTCTGTGCAGGGGTTCTAGGTCATCTCCATGCATGGTCCTTGTTTGGAGCATCAGTCTCAGAAAAGACTCCTGTGCCCAGATTTTTTGGTTCTGTTGCTCTCTTTGTGGAGCTCCCGTTCCCTCCAGGTCTTTCTATCTTACCCTTCTTTCATAAGATTTTCTGCACTCTGCAAAAAGTTAGGTTATGAATCTCAGCATATGTTTTTTTTAATTTATTTCTGTGCTAGAGACTGAACCCCTCTCACTGAATGGATACTATGAACAAAAAAGCATGACAATGATGCAATGATTCCACTAGAATCACTAAGAGTGATGTGAGAAGCTGCCTGTAAAGTTCCTGTCAAAAGCATCATTTACAGACTAAATGTTTGGGAATATTGCAGAATACAAGGGGAAGGAATCAGCTACAAGCCAGACATACACAGGGTATAGGAAAATGATGGAAATGAACCAGCCTGCTCTAAATTAGTTCCTTTGTTCTCTTTGGCGAGTCAAGCTCTTTGAGATTCTTGTTTGCTTTCTATGTTTTAATTAGTAACATTTAGACATCAGCGTTACAAAGAAAAATGAGTATCAGTGAGAAAAGAGTAACAAAAAAAAAAAAAAAAACCCAGTATACATGACATTATGCACCAAATAGGCAAAATACACTCTAATGATCCCCTGTGTGCGAAATAGTATTAGTGATGTTTCCAGAGAGTAAAAGAGAGTTTATAAATATGAGTTAGGTGCTACTAAAATATTTCAGAATATAAGGTAGGAATTGTTAAAGCTTTTTTTAAATAAGAAGGAAAGTTTCATGGATATGAGCACTAACCTGTCAAGTAAGAGCAATAATAGAGAAGGCTCTAGTGACAGTTGGCAGGTATGCCTCCGCCAAAATGTAGACACAGAGACAATTGATTAAAACAGAAAAGGCATGAGATAGGGATGGTACTGACACAGTCTCCAATGTCAGGGAAATAGAGAAATTACACACATGAGCACACACACACATACGAAATAAAAACAGAAGTTTAAAAACAGTCATCAGGTGCCACAAAGCACATTGCACTACCTTAACCACACACATTGTTATAGGCTTAGAGTTTTCACCAAACCTACTTTATTTAGGGTTCTTAGACTCCTTTACCTCCCTTCCAGCGCACGGACCTTTGGTAGGATATTAGTAGGAAAAAGGACTCTAAGACCTCTTTTATCTACTTCCTGCTGATTAGGGTCGATGAATCTTTAGGGAATTGCCAACCTCAGTCGTCAGGATACCAGCAGTCCAGTCCAAAGGCCAACACCAAGCAGGACCATGAAGTCAGTGAAAGCCTCAAGGCTCAGCTGGATTGCCATGACAGAGAACTTTTCTCTCTGCAAAGTCAAGTGTCAAAGTACAAAGATCAGCGCAGCAATGTCAATCCAAAAAGAGATCCCTCACTGTGCTTGGGCCTCTGTGTATCTCCTCTCCTCAGAGTCCACCCACGGATATTCTCAGCTAGCCAAAGTCATGCCCCTCCCCTATGAGAGCTCACAGCAAAACATCACATGCCCTCTCACAAGCCAACCTACAGCAAAACATCATGTGCCCAGCTTGCAGCAAAACATCACATGACAAAACTGAATCTTCATAGAAGCCAGAAATTTCCACTTCACATTGCTTTGAAGCCCAAGGGTATCATCCGTTTTTGTCAAGGGGAGCACATGTTATCCTTCTCTGCTTTCATACAACACAGGAATTAATTATAAAAAAATGAGTTGTCTTTGAAGGTAAAGAAAATAATTTGGAAAATGAAGCCTGTTTCTCTCCATACCTACCCCCTCATCTCATCAAAGAGGTTTTTATTCCTATTTACAGTCTTTAATATTGACACAAATTTACTTACAGTGAAGCTGATTATAAAGACACAAAAGATGGGCATAAATTATAAGATTAAACCCAGCACTGATGAATAGTCAAAGAGCAGGTGCTTTCAAAAGAATACTGATAGCCACGGTAATGACTTGTCAGGCAGGTATGGCAACCTTACGCTGGCATCCTTACACTACAAAAGCAAGATCCGTTTAGGGTACCAACCACACAGTGGAATCTGGGTGTGCCTTATATTCTATTTACTATTTAATAGTAATTGTATAATTAAGTGGTCCTAGGCAACTTTTATGCACCTATACATATACACGCATATACATATACACATATGTATATATACGTATATACACACATATACATTTATGTGCAAATAAAATATTTCCTACAATTGTGTGATTTTTTTTATTTCTTTGGGAAAACCCCTGATTTTAATATAGTAGTGGTTTTAATACGTATGTTGCTCATTTTTTTGAAATCTTAGGTGTGTTAGCTGAATTTCAGCTATAATTTTGAAACTACACGTTAGTATATGAAAACCACACCATTTATAATTAATATCCAAAGAAAGTTTGCTGCCAGGTGATAAATATTAATCTGACATGTTTGGCATGTTTACTAATTGCCCTGTAGGTATTACTACAGGTCGGTGTGATTTTAATCTATTCTCCACTTTACTAGTTAGGAATGTCACAGCTACAGAACAAGTACAAGCCACCCAGGGCTCCTGGCAGGCACCTGAAAGTATCACAATGTATATAAAAATATTCATTAAGTAAAAAATAGCCAATTCTTTATTAAGGGGTGGTAGAGTCTATAAGAAAAACAACTTTTCCCCTGAAAGGGATAGACTAATTTTGTAACCTATATGTCTTCTAAAGCCTATAGTTTTTAGTTTAGGTCCAGGTTAAGCTAAAGCCTTTTAGTACCTTTCCAGAGAATGGAGGAATGTGACCCTATCTGGGAGGACAGATATAAAAAAAGCAAGCAAACGATGCCCTTCACTTAGCAAAAAGAATGACCAGACCCTTGTCTTCAAAATAGTGTTTCTTAGCAACGAACCCAGATGGCCTCAATCCTTCTTCTGAGCTCCTGACCTCCAGCCAAAAGCCAGCCCTAATCTTCAAGGATGAGCTAACCACCTCCACCTTCAATTGCAGCTGCATCCACACTTGGCAGGACTGGCCAAGCTTGAGCACCTAAAACTAACCAATTATCTTACTTTATAGCTTCCTCATCCAATCCTAAATTGCCAAGACTACAACTTCAAACTTACCCGCACTTTATCTTTTAAAAACCAAAAGGCTTTGTCTCCCGGTGCCACTCTTTGCTGACCGGCAGGGGTGACCCCATTGCGCAATGATTAAATTAAACCTCTTGCTTTTGCAATGACTCATGTGGTCTGCGGGGGTTCTGGAAAGGACACAATCTTGAACTCCTGAGCTGTGAGACCCCAGGTCTTACACCCCCATTTTATTGAAAATTGTTTTTCCCCCTCACGTAATAATATGATTATAATTTCTCCTCCCTTGACTCCTCTAAGCTCTTCCCCACTTCCCCTCTCATCCAGATCCACCTCCTTTCTGCCTCTCATTAGAAAACAAACAGGTTTCTATGAAATCATGATTAAATAGAATAAGATAAAATTAAAACTAACACATTGAAATCAGACAGAACAAACAGAAGAAAAAGAGCCCAAGAGATGGCACAAGAAACAAAAACCACTCAACTGCACAGTCAGGAATCCCTTAAAAATTCTAAACCAGAAAACATTGTGTGTGTGTGTGTGTGTGTGTGTGTGTGTGTGTGTGTATGTATATGTGTATATATATGTATGTATATATGTGTATACATATATATATATGAACATACACACATACACACACAAAAGACCTATAGGGTAAAAAAAAGAGAAAAAATATATATATATAATAAAAAAATAAGATAAAAAGAAATAGCCCTGACACTACTTTGAGATAAGAAACCTTCAATGATGCCACTAAGTTCATTTTGTGTTGGCATCTACTGCGGACATGCAACCTATACTTAAAGAGTAGTTTGTTTCCCCAGTGAGACTCCCTTAGAGAAAAGTACCTTTTCATTTGCAAGTATTTATGAATTGGAGATAGGTTCTAGGTTAGGGATGGAGAAATGTGTCCACTTCTCTTTTTAGCTCTAGGGCCCTAAAGCATATAGGCCCTGTGCATTCTGCCTCAGTCTCGGTGAGTTCATATGGCTTCAATCATGTTGATTTAAAGGGCCTTGTTTTCTTGGTGTCTTCCATCCACTCTGTCTTCTACGCTCTTTCTACATGCTATTCAATGGAGATACCCTGATCCCCGAGAAGGGATTGTATGGAGACACCTCCCTATAGGACTGAGTGCTCCAAGGTCTCTCACTTTCTGCATGTCTGGCTTTTTGTCTATGTACTTGTTTCCATCTCCTTCTTTAGGTTTGGAAATTTTTCCTTTATGATTTTGTTGAAAATAGTTTCTGTTCCATTCACCTGGATTTCTTCTTCTTCCTCTATTCCTATTGATTTTAGATTCATTCTTTTCATGGTGTTTTTGATTTCCTGGGGATTTGGAGTCAGGATTTTTTTTAAGATATAACATTTTTTTTTGACCATGATATCCATTTCTTCTGTCATGTCTTTGATGCCCGAGAGTCTCTTTTCCATCTCTTGTATTGTTGTTGGTTGGTTTGTTTTTGTTGTTTTTTGTTTTTTGTTTTTTTTGTTTTGTTTTGTTTTTTGAGACTTTTCTCTAAGGTTCCAGTTCCTAAAATTTTCATTTCTAGATTTCCTTCAGTTTAGGTTTTCTTTATTGAGTCTATTTCTACTTTCCAGTCTTGAATTGTTTTATTTATTTCCTTCTACTGTTTGTTTGTGCTTCCCTCAATTTCTTTAAGGATTTTTTTTTCCTCTTTAAGAACCTCTATCATCCTCTACCAGATTGCCAACATCATGGGCAAAAGCCACATGTAGCCCATCAAGCTGGCTAGGATAACCAAAGTGCTGGGCAAGACCGGTTCACAGGGACAGTGCACACAGGTGCGTGTGGAATTTACAGATGACACCAGACACACTATCGTCTGAAACGTCAGAGCCCCATTTAAGAGGGTGATGTGCTCTTTTTTAAAAGAGAGGCTTCGAGGTGGTGCTATCTACTACTTAACCCATGGGATGACCTGCAACCACTAACGCATTTGTATTGCTTTTTTAAAAAAAAGAACCTCTGTCTTATTCATAGAGGCATCCTAAGGTTTTAGTCTTGTGCTTCAGCTATGTTGTAATATTCTGAGCCTACTGTGGTACTATGGTTGGGTTGCTGGGCTCGAGTAGAGACACACTGTCTTGGATGTTATTGCACTTTTATGCTTGCATCTAGGCATTTGGGTTCAGAAAGACTGTAGTAACTGGGTCTGGTCTTTGTTGGGTGGGTGTTTTGTTTCTCGGTTTCTATTGCCCTCTCTGGTTCTGAGGATACAGTGGTGGCTGTGGGTTGCCTGGTAGAAAATTCTTCTGGGATCCTGATAGGTGTGGCCACTGAGGGTTCCAGGTAAAATGTGTTCCTAAGTATTGGGAACTGACACTTAGGAATGGGGTGGAAAGGGGAGAAGAAGGGGATGCTAAGGGGGTCCACAGGAGACTCTGTGTTCTGTTAGTGTTCTGTTGTGATCTGTTTAGAACCCTGAGAATGGGAGCAGACAGTGAGGAGAATCCACAGCAGATAGTCTGCTGTAGAGCTGGGGAAGAATATGGAGGACTGAATGTGGAGGGGAGAAGAGAGAGTGACCTGATACTCACCTACCTGCTTCCCTGGCCAGAGTGGCCTGCAGGTTTTCCAGAGGATGCTTGCTGGAGCTGGAGCCTGGGAGAAAGTAATGAGAAAAGCAGGAGGGGAAGATTCGTGTGATCCACAGGAGATGTGGGCAGCGGGAGGGAGGTGGTCTGCTACAGAGCTGGGGGTGTGGAAGGAGGCTGCATTTGATGGAGAGAAGAGAAAGGTGAAGATCTGCAGCTGGAAACGGCAGCTGCTGGTGGAGGCTGGGAAAATGGGGTGAATGGGAAAAAGAAGATTGGAGGAACAGTCCTACACCGTCACTGGAGACAGGCAGGGGTCAGAGGAGGAGGGAGGACTGCAATAGGTGTTCTGCTACAGTGTGAAGGGATGGGCAGTGGGTTTGGAGGGGGGGGTGAAGATCTGCAGCTAGCCTCCCTGTTTCTCTGGCCATTGTCCTGTGGGCTTCCAAGGAATGCCTGTTGGGAGTTGGGGCTGGGAGAAGCAATGAGTAGGAGGAGGAGAGCTTGGAGGAGAAGATCTGAATGATCCACTGGAGATGAGGCAAGGGGAGAAGGAAGGCTGCAGGAGAAGGCTTGCTCCAGGACTGGGGATGAGACTTTTGGGGGTTGGATCTGGAAGAGTGGAGGAAAGGTGAAGATCTGCAGTTAGCCTCCGTTTCCTTGCCTGAGTCTGTCAGGCACCTTTTAATAAAGACTCCAAATACCGTGGTCAATAAGAACACTGGAAACAGAAGAGACACCTTTAGAAATTCTGCTAAGGAGATGCCCTTTCTGTCATACCCCGTGTTGCCTATGCTCAAAGTAACTGCCTGCTTTGGGGTTAAAATGAACTCTTTAGGATGGGGGGATTTTTTGGTCAATGTGAACAATTCCATACTCAATCTGATCTTCCTTTCAAGTTATTTCACATCATTTCCTTCTCTCAATATAGTGCTGCTCAGACTGAGAGCCAGTTTTTCTTTCTCTATTGCAGAGAGAGAGCTCTATAGTGTTCATAATAGTGTTCCAGTGAGGTAGACGATCACTCTGGGAACTGCTGTTCATTCTGCTGAGCACCCAGGC